TTGGTATGTTCTGTTTTTAAAAATGGGGTTTTGTGGTCACCCATTGCACTGTCTCATATGTTGTCATTCCTCTGGACTCTCCGCTGCATTTTATCCATCTTTTCTTCCAGTGGATTTTAAGTTCCAAACTGCTGGGATGGTGGACAGTGGAAGCATCCTCCTGAATGGGTTAATGAAATACCAACAAAAAATTGTAAATTAATAAAAAAACATCACATTTACCAGGACTCTCTTCAGTAGCATCAAAGTCTAGCCATTCTAGAGCTAATGGGAAAGCTGGCAGAATAATATCATGATGGACATAGAAGTGTTCTTCAGATTCATTGTACACTAAAATAGAAAATTACAATCTTTCAACAGATATGCTTTACCCTTATATGAATTAAAAAGGTTCATGTTTCATTTATGTGCATAAGATCAGGATTTCAGACAACACTGTTATTAGTATCTTAAACTGCATTACACTGTATCACAAATCCAAATTATATATAAATTACATACATATAAAGTACATTCTCTCTCTTATTTTCATTGTGTAGAACAAAAATTACTCAATTTTACTGCTCTTATTTAAATTTATAATGAATTTGATGAATATTCTAAACAAGAAAGAAGCTCACACTAGTTATTAAATCTCACCATAAATTTCTAATACACTACAGTCTTCTTGTACACGTCCTACAGCAATGAGATTGTCTGTTGGAAGAATTTTGAAGTCCTCTTCCTCCTCCGATTCTTCATCCTACAAAAGAAATAATAATCACTTTAACAGTGATGACATATTTTCATATATTTGTCAGTGCTTTGGAATGTCAATAAATTGTTTCCACCTGTTTTGCTGATTTGGATAAATAATCATTATGTATATGATGAACAAACAAAAGCCTTCTTTCTATCAAAATGTCACCGCTTTCTACCTCAGCTATTTTTGTAGATTAGTTATCCAAGACTCTCTACAAGTGTCATTTTGAACAAGATAGTTGCAGACTATTTCACCTTTGTTCAACCATTATGAATACTCTGCCTAAATCATCTATGTGAGAACGATTTTCATAAAACTTTTTAAATGGCTATTATTAAATAATAAAATAAGAAAAGTATCTAAACAATGTGTGTTAACATCTGCTAAGTAACAAGCTGTTTATTCTTAATATCACTATCTTAATGCCCTGATTTATTATAATCTTTTAATCTGAAGTGTATTTTAAGAGAGAAACAATTTAATGTAAAATTCACACAAAGAATTATGATAAATTTTACTCTATGCTGTATTTTTATATTTACACTTATCAATAAAAAAGTTGTATGTTCTTTAAGAACTGTTGAATTTTTTCAAAATTACTAGCACAAACCAACCAGTAACCAATGTGACTGCTTAGTGAAAGTTTACATTTTCCTTACCTGAAAATGTATTTCCAATAGATACTCACCTTCTCATACAGAATAGCTACTAATCTTCACATAGCTGCCTCAAAGATTTGCATGGCCCTAGCCTTGACCTAACTCCCACCTGAAAATCCCATGTGTTTAACATGAACTATGCTAGCACATGGCAATAGCACTATACCAATAGAAGGTTGACACACCCTCCTTCCAAAGTAACTTCCCTTAAGCATTTTTGCTCAAATTAACTTTATTCTTAGATGAGGCAAAAAGAAAATGCACCAAAAGTTATAATTTTACTACACTGAAAATATATTTCTGATAGGTACTTACCACCACTCACATAGATAGCTATTCTCATTCAGTGCTACCCTCTATATGCAAAAAATATATTTTGCATGCCACAAGTCTTTTGATATGGTACATTACTTTCCCTCACATAAATAGCTAGAATCCCACATTGAATATGTAGAAGGACCAGTGTGAGGAAAAGAAAGAAGCCTCCTTCAAAAGCATCTGAAGGATACTCCTTAAGATGAGACAGTCAGATTCTAAGATCTGATGTGGTGAACCACACCACTTCTGAACCAGGTATACTCTTTGCCCATCATAGAAAGATGTTGAATATGTGGGTGGAAAACAGAGGAGCACATCCAGTTGGGAGATAACTATGAGTGGAAGTGATCAAAACCATGCATTATTTATGAAACTGAATCCTAGAAATTATAAAAGTGGGTAAAATGAAAAGGATGTGCCCCTAGGTGTAGCGTGGCTAGTAGGTGACGGACAGTACACGGCAAGTCAACTACATCCAAAACCCATGCTGCTGAGAACCGACATCCATGCGGGGGTAGGATGAGGATCATACCATTGGTAAGTCAACTACAATCCAAAACCTGGTGGCCGGGTACTAACATCCATATGGGGGTATGAAAGAGGATCACAGAACCAGCAAGACGACTACAATACAAAATCCAGGCCTCCGGGAACCAACATCCAAGTGGGGGTAGGAAAGAGGATCATACCAGTGTCAAGTCAACTACAATCCAAAACCCAGCCATCTAGGAGGAGTAGGAAGTAGGAAAGAGGATCATACCATCTTCACCTCCAGTTCATGAGACTGGAGGAAATCTAGTACTCCCTGCCTCATGAACGGGGCACATGTAAATATGAAAAATTGATAGATCAATCCAGTATCAAAAAGGTGTCTACATAATGTAAACCATTTCCCTCAAAAGAGAAATTGACAATATCCACCCCAAGCACATTAACATACTCGGAATAAGAAACATTGAGGGATAGTGAAAGGGAAAGAGCCGTAACAATCCACAATTACCTCCACCGTGACACACAATACTGATGGAGTATGAATGAAGGAGAAATATAGACATCTGTATTACATGTTTGAGGACTTGTGTTGATTGGTTCTACTCTAAATCCAAAACTCAGACCCTGGAAACAGACATCCACATGGGGGGTAGGATGAGGGATCCCTACCATTCCCATTTGTTTTTATGTTTCATATTGGAGGATATCATGTTATCTACACCAGCAGAACACCACCACCCTACTCTCAACTGAATGGAAGATTTTAGTTGATTTCTTCTAAATAAATCACCGGGATTACCTATGTGACAGTAAAAAAGTGTAATAGAATGTAAAATGAAATTACAGTCTAAAGTCTAATCCTGCATATAATACATTTTAACAGAATGGTTTACAAAACTCACACCTTTTTAGAAACAAAAGCTTTTGAGTTTTTTTTTCATCTTACCTTATATAAACATACCAATATATTTTACATACTACTAGTTAAATATCAGTTCATTTAAACATGAAAGACAAATAAAGCACACATGACTCTTTCTAATCATCTACCTATACAACAATATGCTGTAGTAAGAGCTGGTATTTCACACAAAATGTATAAAAAAAATACTTTATTAATTAGTTTACAAAAAAATCACAAATAGATACACAGGGTGGGCCATAAGTCAACTTACCTAATTAATGGACCAGTGTCTTTGTCAGTTAGGTGTACAATACAGAATACATTGTGTTGTTACTGCAACTACACACAGCAAGTAATCTTAGTGTCTGCCTTCTTGATTTACACTGGGTTTATAACATTGAATGACAGAACAATATTGCTTCAAGATTTGAAAATTTTTCTTGAATGTAAGTTTTCATTGTGATAATGTCTGTGTATTTGCATAATCAGATAGATTTCAGTTTAGCATAAAGATAAAAGCAAACAAAGAACTCTTAGATTGAGATTACTAGTACTAATATTCTGTTTCCAGCCACAACACTCCTACCCATTCAACTATATCTTGCCAGGTTTGAACTAATTGGATGGATGGCCAAATTGGAATATAAATTGCAGCCAACTCTAACTTTTGAGCTCTAGCTCACACACTATTTTCTTCCTCACTCATAAAAATTTTTCATAAGCTCAGGCGTCACATGGATTCATTTCAGAGACAAATAAAAAATATGCAAAGCAAGACATGAGTAACTCACTTGTCACAGGAACCTGTTAATAATGTTTGAGCTTCTTGTGGATGCCATTTTAACGTCTGTACCTGAAACAAACAGAAAACTTTAAATTGGTGAAATAGACACACACACACACATATATATATATATATATGTATATATGTATAGACAAGATACACATTGCTACTATACCTATACACCATAATATACACACCAAAAGCTTTTCAATTACTTAACTATCAACAAGATACTAAAAGCTTACGAATATTTACCTAACTTGTTGACACCAAGGTGTTTGTAATAATAACCAGATAACATCATAAACCAGACACTAAGGTTTTTATGAAAAACAAACATATTAATAATAACAATATTACATATATATGCCAAAAGCTTATTGTAAAACAACTTTCCTACATTATCTTCAAGGCACCAAAAAACTTCTTTCAACAGATTAATCTGTATCCTTTATCCCACAAACACATCAAGTGTTAAAAGTAGAAAAAGTATAGTGAAAATGGTGGTGGTTTCCAAGAAATATGCAGAAACAAAAACAACCCAAGTCAGGATTATTCACATCATTTGTATTGAATAATAACTTGTACATGGAATGTTGTCCTAGCAATGCATGATTATGAGTATAAATAAAGATAATGAACCAATACAATGTATATAAATAACATGCATAAATACCTAAGTGTAAGCTATTTTACTCTTTCTATTCATGGAATCATCTCATAGCTTTTTCCAGTGTCCATACTTACAGATTTATGATTTATTTTAAACTTTTCATGTTCATTATATCAAAATTTCAAAGTTCTACTGTGTACCTTGACTGAGGATATTGGAGTCTCATATTCTATAATATATCTATGAACCACTACCGGTAACAAGTATTAAAAACTATAAATTCAAAATTTGTTGGAAATTTACTGAAAACATCTTACCTTATCATGATGGCTCTCTAACATGACAGCAGGTGTCCCTTCAGCCAAATCCCATATTGCAACTCTATTATCAGCAGAACCACTAGCCAGAATATGCCTAGGAAGAACAAAATAAACGTTTGAAAATAACCATTCAATTTTTTTTACTCGCTCACAGTTATATTTTTACAATCCAAAGTTACTTTTTTTTTGGAGCTGAAAGAAACTTGACCCTTTAAAATTTAGTGGTTAGATGTATACTAGTCAATTTTATGTTTAATATTTTACTTTATTCTTGGTAAATAGGTTTCATATTAACAAGAAAGTTAAAAAATTTCATAATAACTTTTATAAAAAAAAATCTAAATAATAAGATAAAATAGTTTCTTACATAGTTTGGATAATTTGAAAAACACAAGTAAATTAGGGTTAGGTGTTGAAGATACCTACAATAAAAGTAACCATTAATAAAAACAAGCAGCTTTGGTAAGAACCAGTATTATCAACTGTTAAGACTATGATGAAATGTTTCAATCCACTCTTTGTATAATCTTGTTCACAGTTTAAATAGCTAGAAACAGAAACTATAATATAATTTCATCTAAGCCACTTTTAAAATAACAAAGCGGAGAAATACATTTTCACATTCAAAAACTAAAAATCTACAGCATGTGAGTGAGAGATGGCTAAGTATGAGAAACATTGTCCTGGGGTTTTGAGCAATACCCCTCCCCCTCACACACACACAATTTCTCCTCAATCTAATCATTCTAACTCGAGATATCAGTTATGACTGAATTAACTGGATTGGTATAAGAATCAAGGATATTATGAAATGTGTTTAAATATGGCTTAACATCTTTGGAGCCTGTCAGTTGACAGTTTAATTTCATATACCAGTAACAGTGTTATGTGAGTCAATCTTTGGGCTAGTTTTTACATGCTATTTAGTAAAGTTAATTATACCAGGCAGTTTGCTGCTTGGTTAGACAGTTCAATGTTTCATTACATTGCAACAGTAAAACTAAATCATTAAAACTAAAAGAATAATTCTGACAGAGCATAAATTAAGAAAAATTAATTTTAATACTTCCTTTAAGTTCATATGTTTGGGCTCACTTAAATAAATGCAAATGCATTATAGGTCTAATACAATGGTTTTTGTTAAATGCAAGATATTTAAAAGTAGCCAAGTACCAAAAGTTTTTCTTTGTATTAAAGTAACTTTATATGAATAACAATATGATATAGTAGTACAAGGTAAAAGTATTTCTCATCTTTAATATTACTTTTAAGAATCAACTGTCTTTACAGTATTTTCCTATGATGCAAATAATGCTGCCACAAATACATAGTTAGCATTCTTGGCACCACTGTACAAACTTTCAAATATATTTCGTATTTGGATGTCTGTAAAGAAGCAAATTGTGCTAAGCTAAAGAAGTTAAGAGGCAAGGTTAACCAAACCATAATCATGTAAATATCTTATCTCAACAATTTTGAGCTTATATGCAGATGGCATCCATGCAAATCCACAAGTTCTTTGCATTTTAGGATAGGATAGGTCTTTGTTACTTTAGTAAGAATATGGACTTATTCATACAAACCATTTTATTTAAGTTAAAAAAAAGAAGATTATTGTTTAATAAAACACCAAGATTTTAGTTCAGTGCATGGCAGCTTGAAAACGTAACCTTAGAACATCATGATTTTTACATCAAACAGTAATACCAGGATGTCAACAGGAAAAAATAAAAAAATCTGAAATCCTACGGAGAGGGCTACAAGTGGTTAGCATGAGTAAACTTGGCTGGGGGTTTGGGGGACTTACTTCATTTTCTCATGCAGCCCCCCAAAAAATTTGAAAGTTAGGTGCTCTCACAGTGATTCTGCCCATGTTTGGGGCACAAAATATGAATATTTTCAGGTGCACTTTACCCTATGAAAAATCCACTGTTTCTCTTCACTAAAGGGGTGATCTATTCTGGTTCATCACCTATGAACAATAAATAGTCAACCATCTTATTCATTAAGTTAGTAAGTAATCCTATTATTGTCCACACAAAACCAGCTAATTTCCAGTCTAAAGTTGAAAATTTTCAGCTTTCAGAATAAACGTATTCCCTTTAAGTCCAAGCATTTTCATCTCATAGATATAGTGTTTTTTTGCATTAAAAAATGTGGCTAGAATAACTCTGTGTAGCTGTTAAAATATGACTGATCAAGCTCAATGATGATATAAATCCAACAGTGTTTTCATCCAAGTTTCATAGCTCATTTTAGGATAAATGGCTCGACATATCTAATAAGTATGTTAACATGTGAAAAGAGAGTGATCTACTGATTATGTTTTTAAAGTTGGATGGTGGATTATAAAGATGGATTTTGACAGATTCTATTTCAACTGTACCTGACAAATTGCTGTCTTCAGATGGGTATGATGGAGGCAGCCATAGCTATACTGCACAGATCATGTGCAGTGGAATGTTCTGTAGAGAGCAGCCAATGAGGGTGTAACATTGTAATTATATGTCAGACCTTTTGTTTACAAAACATCACAACTCACCACTCACCCCCAATTTTTGAACCAGATTTACACAAACCACAGAAAATGAACCAAGTGACGAAAAAAAACTCGGAAATCCACAAATCCACAGAAAATTGACATTCCAATGAAACATGATAAAAAAGAAAGAGACAGAAAAATGATAAGCAGAAATAAATTTGCTAGACTTATGATAATGGTTTCTTCCATTAGAGCAGTCTAACTTTTTCTCACTTGACTTTGATTATATGAACATTTTCAGTTCAAAAAAGCCTTTTCTTTTTATGCACACTAGTACAGACAAACTGCAGCAAAGTTAAAAATACAGTTTTATATCTCTATTTTTAGTTTGTAAATTGCAGCATTTTTAACCCTTTTCTTGCACCTCTGTCAGTTTCTGGTTTTCATTCTCACATCTGACCTATTTCTCTCTCATTGATCCCCTGTCTCTATATTTTCCAAACACATGTCAATCTGCACTCATTTGTTAAGACATTGCACCTTATTCTCTATATCCATGGTCAGTGATTGTAGTGTTTCATAACCATATGACAAATGAAATTTAGAAAGGTTGCCACTATATCCACTCACTCCAATAACTTGGAATGTTTTAAACCCCTAATTCCTTAGAGACCAACCAGAGGCCAGCCACTTTCTTATGCTCACTAGACTTCACATTCTGACTCAGAAATATTATAATATATTCAAACAATATTATTTCACACCTCACCTCCTAACACTCTTAAACCCTTAAAAATAATATAAAATAACACAATAATTTTTTTAAATATTTCTTACATTATACGTTTTATAAATTGTAAATTCTTGGAAATCAAAATAATGCACAATTACTAATATACATGTTACATGTATAACCCTACCTGATTAAATGGTTCCAATTAAGGTCTAAAACAGCATCAGTGTGACCAGTAGATGTGGATGCCAACTAATTCCACAGACAGAAGTAAAGATAAAGTTTTAAATGACATGTCATGGCTTTAATATCTTTGTCAATCAAATGAAAACTTTTGGAAAATGTTTTTTTTGTTTCTATAATTGTCACACTAAAAATACATAAAAAATTAAATTCCTTGACATTAATATTTATTGGAAGTAATTCATATTTATATATATTGTTCTCTGTTTATCTATTTAGCATTCAAGCTAGTATATAATTGAAAATCAAGAAACAGTGAATTGCTGATAAGCATTATTATTATTATTTACAGTATAAGGCTTATTTTAATAATATCACTGTATATAACCAGATTGAGTTTTTAATTACTCGATCATAAAATTTCATGCAATTAGCTGTATATAACCAGAGCTTGAAAAATACAGGTAAGATTCACCAGTCAAACAACGTTGCTCTCCTCCACAATTCCACAAAAAATAAATCATAGTTTACCTGCTTACATGTATACAACAAAAGACCATTATCCTGCTTACATGTATACAACAAAAGATCATTATCCTGCTTACATGTATACAACAAAATATCATTATCCTGATTACATGTATACAACAAAATATCATTATCCTGATTACATGTATACAACAAAATATCATTATCCTGATTACATGTATACAACAAAAGATCATTATCCTGCTTACATGTATACAACAAAAGATCATTATCCTGATTACATGTATACAACAAAAGATCATTATCTCCACATACCTTATAATATCTTTGCAAACTACCTTAGGTCTACTACTTATTCAATATTTCTAGCACAGCTTCAGAGTATGAGCTAAAGTATGACGAGTAGGTTTTGCACTTAAGTACCATCTATCTACTGGCTTTTATGTATCAAATTAAGAAAAGGATGATTTATTTAGATTAATTGTCATAATATTGCTACGAGTTCAACTTTCAAGTGAAAATTGAAATCTTTTTTTAATCAGGTTCACTTGATTGAATCCTCTTTCACAACTTGCTGTTGACACCAGCAAAACAGAACAACCTTACAAGAGATCCTAAGAGAGAATAACTATCAACTCTTGATACAGATTTTGTCTTTCAGTGGGAGTTCCTGACTACATATCGTAAATTCATACTACTCACTTCGGAGTTCTTAATATCGTTTTAGCTTTGCTCTAGTCTCCATTTATATTGCAGGTAGCACTCTCCAAATACTTTACCAAAGATTTCCAGTTCATTGCTACAGTTTAAATCATCTGCATTATGTCTGCCACCAACCTAAGTGTGTATTTTTGCAGTTTCAATAAATTCCCACCAAGAACTCTCGCTATTTCTGCCTGCTGCTGCTTTTTGCTGAAACTGTTATAAAACTTAAAAAAGTGGTATGGGCACATGAACAAATTCACCAATAAATGATGTATCTTTTATAGGTTTTAAACAATTAACTGCAGCTTATGAGCAACACAGTGTACTGCTACAAGGTGTTCTGTGTCTTTTGCCATTTGTGATGCTAAGCCACTTATTGCACTGATCAATGCTGCAGATCTATCAGTCCCAAACCCTATAAAACCATTTCCCATTCTTCCAGTCCAAGCCTAATTTGTATACAGCTCACTGTCAACATTGTTGAGATAATTGGAAGCTGTCATATTTTCCAGGGGAGCTAATATCAAGAATGATTCTTTCACTTTGTTGTTGTTTAGAATTTGCAATGTTGTTCACAAACATTTTGTACTGTTTATTACTAGTGTAACTGCATGTCAATTCCATTAATCCTTCTATATCACTAAATGCTATGTAGTATGTTACACTGAAGTAATTTTCAGTTGTTGAAACATCTTGTCATCTATTTTGTTTATACATTTTGTAAGATGAGTCATTTCTGGGTTTTCATGGACCTTTAGTGCCTCAATGCATTTGAGATGGATACCAAATATGTTATGAAACACAAGTTTCATGGCAAAAAGGTTCATTTAAGACAGTAACAAAAAATCAATTGTCAAATAAATGTGGAAACTGAGGAAACACACAGCACTTTGCTAAATCAGCATTTTTGTCAAATGTATGATATTTAAATTTTTCTAGACACTTCAGTAAAAATTTCCGTTTTTTCCCTCCCTCCCCTGTAGCTTTATATCACTATGACTATTCTTTAAAGTTATGTTTGCTTTGCTAACCTTGATCCTGGAAACTGCCCTGTTAATTGAGTCATTATCATTGGATGCACTCTTCTTGAAAAACACTAGCAACTCTTTGTTGCATCATGTTATTTATAGCATTACACAGAAAATACAATGCAAAAAAAATTAAGAACTCTTGCTAATTGTTTTAGCTGATTGGCTACTGTCTTTGCTTGAGCTTGTGATATCTGAACTGTGAATTCAATTGTAATAAAGTAATAGGCTCTGCCATCTTTAAATTTCACTCCCCACAATTTGTTATTGACAATGTTGCCTCTTGAAAAATGAAGAATAAAATTACACATTTCAAAAATGCATTAAAGAAAGTTTTGATAAAAATAGTTTACAGTCTTCAACTCTTCATTCATGATTTAATACTTAATGAGTTAAATATTTTGCTTCATTAAGACTGGGGAGGTGTTGTTATTACTAACAGAAGAGCCTAAGCAGAAAGAGATTTATAGTGACAGGCCTTCAAAACAGTGAAGCTCAGTTTTCTTCTCATGTTAAGGGGAAAATGTGTAAAAATACTTCTTTTCTGCTGTGCCTTCATGACGAAAGAAACCTAATCTACCAGTGCAGTGTGCTTCCAAGACAATTTCATTTTATTTTTGAGTATTGGACAAAAGGAGAAGTGATTAAGCTTACCCTCATTATCTCAGTTAGACAGAAAACTCAAAATCTAAATTTCTCTCCTCTTGCCACACTTTATTGTTCACTCATTCTGAACAACGGTATTTTTAAAGCCCTGTCTATAATACACAGCAACCATGCTGTCACTTTTCACCAGAAACCACATTTAAGTTGTACTCCAAAAAACTTGTACAAACAGTTTTATCCATCATGATATATGATATTTCACAATCAATAAGTCTGCACTTCACTCAGTCTAACAAGTAGTGTAAAATATTTCTCACACTATTTCACAAGATATAATACAGAGGGAAAATAATACTCCATATAAAGGTCATGCAATACGTATGAAAGTGCACTGCTGACATTTTATTAGTAAAGGAGAACAAACCTTTTTCTTTTTTGATTTCTGCCCAAGAGAGCAAGCTGGTTGAAGTGTGTCTACAATATCTATGTCCCAGATGTTTATTACAGGTGTCATATCCCCTATAGCCAAAAAATTTCCTAAAAAAGGAACATAAAAGAAAGACCCAATAACCTGAGCATTTTCAGAAAGCAAGTTTTCCTTCATTGTAAAATATTCTAACTCCACTGACAATGTAATAACTGAGAGAATTTTTATGAAGAATAAAAACCAATGTAAAAAGACAGATTTCACATGGCTTTTAACTCATTAATGTTTGCCTGGTCACGAAAATTAATAAATTTAAAAAGAGCTTCTGATGAATTAAGTAGAACTAAGATATTTTAAACCAAAATAAAAATAAACTTCAAACTGTTTACACATGCCATTAATATTTTTTAAAATCTGTATTATTCCTAATAAGCTGGGGTTCTGTTTTCATTTAGTGTCAGTATTATGGTTTTTTAATATTACTTAGTAACTGTCATGTTCATTATTGAGTTTTATAAGCTTTTTTTCAACAATGAAACAAGTCTTCATCTAACTGTCATTTAATGTGGGCATAAGTATGAACTTAGTTATACAGGATTGATCATAAATAAGTATAATGAAAGATTTTTTCAGCTCACTTATTTGTTGACATTAACATATTTTACAGTAAGGGGAATAATCAAAGAATGTGTTGGCTGTTTTGATGATGAAAAATTTCACATTCGGTGTTTTACAGTCAAACAGTGAAACAAATAATCATCAGGGGTGCTCGAAAATTAAGCAAATTTCCTCTGCCCCACTTGAGATACTGGTGAATTTAATTTGCATGTGGTAATAATAGTTTAGAGGCCTATTAGAAGAAAGACAAGACAAAATGGAGGCAGAAGTGAAGGAAAGGCAAGTCCTGAGTACATTCAAATCATACCAATCACAACTTACTTTACCCAGAATATGATGATATATCTTTAAAAATGTTTTTGCTCAAGCCTTCCTTATCTTTGTCAGTCAATACACATACAAACAATGCTTTTGTATCAAAACCTGAATCATTCATAATACATGCACATAAGCTATATCATGCTTGAATTGCCAATAATGTAATGACTGAAATAACATTTTTAAATATTACAGTTTACCAACTAAATCTATTTACTCTTTGAAACAGCTGTTGTTCAAGCAAGAGATGATATAAATAGCATCTCAACCACTACTATGTACGTTGTATCATGGCCAGTCTGATAATCCTTGACATTGACTGAAAGGCCTAACTAGTACTGGATTTAGTAAATATTGTGTGGTTGACATATCATTTCATTCTTCTTTACTTCCACTCATAAGTTCTTATAATTACTCAAAACTCTATCACTTGCAATTTATCATAATTAAAAAGTTTGGCTTCATTCTTAGAAGATACATCTTTCAGTAAACCAGGAAAAAAGGTGTAGAGACAATGTAATTATTGTTGCTGAACAATGGTTAACTTCTAAGAATGTAGCTTTTCAAAAATATTGGTTATTGTATATGCAGTAATAACTAGAGTGTACTCTAAGGTACAAAATAAATACATAACTAACAAAGAATTTATATCCACAGTGAATAAAGGTTGCATCTTACAAGGATTCACAAAACAAAGCATAAAGAGCCATCTTTAGTAGTATAGATTCAAAAAATATTCACTGACATCAATAAATTGACTTAGAAGAAGTAAAACCCTGAAACAAACAATATGATGTAAAAACAAAGGAAGATAAATAAGTAATAACACAGAAGTGTTGTTCCAAAAACATTTCCAAAATCAATGAAAATGAAGTATCATTCTTGAAAATAAACTCTATACTATACAAGAAATCTCTGTTTTGGCCCACGAAGGAGAAAGAACTACTGATGCAAAAAAAGTTTTGAATCCTTGTGAGATATGAAAAATGTAAGTAACATGACAATGTCATTGGGTAAAAACTAACAAAATCAGTTTTAATAGTTACACTTTATATAAGGAACAGAATACAACAGCATTCACATCATACAAGTAAGTCAAAAATAAGTCTGGAAAAATAGGTAAACATTACATCAACTTTGACACAGACAGAATTACAAGTTCTAGAAGAGAATGTATTTGTAGAATCACTTTATTTAACCAATGCAGTTTGTTGTATTATTTATTGCATGTGATGCAGTTTCTCAATGTATTTTATAGTATGTGTTACCATCTGGCATATTATTTATCCAAATGATGTAATTCTTTGTAACATTTGCTCTAACTATTGTATTTTACAGTGCACTTTTAATCCAGATTTAACACTACTGCAACATGTGTTTTGACATCTCCCCATAATGTCGATCTACTGAGGTTATAAAAAATCTTGAAAGATTAGAAAATCTCAAACCACTATAACTTAAATAATGAAGGACTACTGACAAAGAAGCATGATATACCAAAAACAGCAGGATATAAAGAACAATACAAATTCTAAACTTATAAAAGTAAAATATTTGTTTGTTTGTTTGCAAACTACTTTGTGGTTTTTGAACCAATCTCAATCAAATTTAGTAGGATGATACCCTGGACCAAAGGGCATGTCATAGGGTTGCTATTACCTGGGCCCACCCACAGTAAATAATATGTTTGTTTAACTAATAACTCCATAGTCTTTGACCAATTTTTATTCCTAAACCTTTTTTATTTTGAGTTTTTTCATAAAAAATGTCAAACATTCACATTTTTGCCAGAAACAATGGCAACTAAAGCACAAAATCAGACCCTTAAAGTGGCAGTAATACATCTGAAAATCCCTTGCCTTTTACATGATCAATTCTATGTTGGATGTTCAAGAATAAGATAACCAAGAAATATCTATTTTGGCCCACGAAGGAGAAAGAACTTCTAATGTGGTCCATCAAGAATCACTAAGAGTACCAACAAACACCGAGGCTGTAGAGAGGGATTAGTAAAAGTAATTGTAACATCATTTCTGTAATGTGGAGTAAATTAGGTGTAAAATAAATTCTTGCTTTAATTTATTAATTCAAGCCCTACATTCAAACCTTATGCCCATGGATGTAAGACTGGTGTTTCAGTTTGTATAATTATATATACATAGCAAGCTAAGTATCAGACCTGAACAAAACAATTTAAGACCAATAAAAGAAATGAACAGTGAATCTCTGAAAGTTTAGTAGGCTCGTATAGAACAAACCAATCAACACGATTATTCACAGGTCAGTTTGATTACACTTACAGATACTGATTTTAATATCCAAAACTTTAATTAGACACAGTGACTTACAGATTGAAATAATCTATAAATATACAACAACAATAAAAACTTAACCCAGTGTTGCCTCCTACTTTTTTTGATGGGGATACAAGCAGAAATTTGATCAGGTTTAACATCATAACATTTCAAAAAATCTCTCTCCAAGTTCCTAAATCTAAGAATATGGACATGATAGAGCTTAGATTCAGGATTTCTTTTTATTATTATTTTAATTCATACCATTATTTATCATATTTTACAACTGTCAATTGATCACCTCCCCTCTCTAACAAATTAATCATCACAGAGATTCAAACTTTTACTTTCAAAATGGATTTGTATTTATGCATTCTACCTTCTTGGCAGCAGTTATATGTCATTTCTCAGTCAGTGTCTTTAAAGATGTCAAATGTTCTTTAGTTACTTATTGCCGAGTCAGTGCACTGCATTGGCAATTCACAAAAGTCTGGGTACTGAACGTACATTTAATCTCTGGTCCTGTGACTTCTACACATACTTTAAACTACTTTTGTCTTTCATAAGTCAAGAAATCTCATCCATCCATTTGTGTTGGAAGGTCTTATGAATTTTGACACCTCCTTATATGGCCAAGTCAACGTCTGTTCTACAGTGACACTATCAGTACTACTACTTCTGTTAGCTTGAGACTTGGAAAGAATTCTCAACTCCTTGTTTTTAATTTTTGCTCAATTCCTTATCACTGACAGCAAAGCAACACATATTTTCTTCACATGATTCATGTACATGAGAGGTATATAATTTCTGTGTTGCAGTGCACATATGGAAATCAACAAGTGTGAATATATTTTATTTTTACGAGTTTAATGTTGAAATGCATGTGAATGGGCATACTGTTAAACACTTTGTTACACAAAACTTATCATTATGAGAATGTGATGTTTATTGATAAGGGAATTTATGTTACAAATATACTTACATAAAAGTGAAAAGGATTGAAATGGTCCCACAAAACTCTTTCAATTTCCTCATTGACAAACCAGTTTTTGTGATTTTCATCACCATTCCTACAGTCAAATATCTTCACTGTCCTAATAAGAAAATATAATCAAATATACTATAAAATGTTTGAAACATATAGCATGGTACAAAGTCTGAAACTGATGTACTTAAGTTGGTGCATTCTTCTATGCTACTTTATGTATTATAACTTAGTAATCAATTGAAAGAGGCTTATCTACATTACTAAATTATAACAGGAACAATTGTTATTTTTTATTGATGCAGTGCATAGGGATAAAAACAGAATATGAAACTTCTGGTAGGTCCTGAGTTACAGCCCACAAAGGCTTGGATCTATGGCTCTCTGGTGCATTCTAAGCAATCTTGGGGTACTAAATTTTCACATTATTTATTGCTAGGATGATTAGTTGGACATTTGCTACTAGATCCTATGCTCTAAATTATACTATCAATATTACAGACTAGTTTGGTCATTCCATTAATTATTTAGACTGATACTACATAAAAATGTTTATAACTGCATTGATTAAACCACCTAAATACAAACATGTCATTTTATGAAATATTGGGACAATACTACGGAATCTGAGTTTCCTCCGAGTCAAATTATTGACCAATCATTTAAAACTAAATCTTATAAAAGGGAGATACGAATAATCTAATTTTCTAGGAAAAGAAATGTAGGCAAAATTACATAGATGTTTAACTGATTTCTCATGTGTCTGAAATTCTTCAGTCTTACAATTTCACATTAATATGTATATACAGACACACCTTATGAGACTGAAAATAGTTTCAGAACCTGTGACATTTAATTAGTTTGTAATATATTTTCAATTGTATATATTTTGCTATATATATATATCTGCTCCACCCCACACCACTCCCCTCAGATTTCATTGGTTCACTATCTCTGTCCAATTCAGGCTCCACCCGAATTATTTCACAAAAGAAAATAATGTCCAGTTAAAGAAAAATGTACTTTCTATGTAATTCTAAACAAATAGGAAAAATTTTCACATCATTAACATGGATGGTGAAAGATTTAAAGCCCTTCTCTATGTCGATCTTTTTTATCTGCCACTGCAGTTTTAGCCTTTGTGCATAAGTAAGGTTCAAAGTTCACATGGCATGACCTTTTACAAAGTGCCAATCAACATGGTATTATGCATTTGATATCAGTAATCAACTATTCATTGTACCCCACATTGCTGATTTAGCAACTGTTCATGGTAGAGGAGGGTGAATACCCGATCCAACATACAGGGATACTGAAAAAACTATACAAATAAATAAATAAATAAATATATATATGCGTATGCATTTTGTAGGTTCCAGAGGTTATGCAAATGCAATATGTAAACTGTACATTGGACAAAAGTATTTATATTATTCACATGAACATCCTTTTGCACACAAGCTTGTTGGTCTAAGTCAGACTGACATTGTCAATTCACAGACTTATTTTGAGAACAAATGCTTTTGTAACACATCTGATTTTTTGTGGACAACAGACTTGTACATTTAACTTAAAGCTTGTCACACTTTGGGTAGATACACACAGTAAAATGATAATTATAATTAACATTTCTTCTCCAATATGGGGATGGTGCAATGCTTGTGCACATTCAGTTTAGAAGCTGTTCGGATATCTTTGGTTTCAAAAAACATTGTGCAATTGATCAGTTGTCTGCCAAACAGCCTGTTAAAAGGAGCATCACGTGTCAATCTCAGTTTAGTTTCCCTCAACACCAAATTTCAAGGCACTGGATCTGTAGATCCCAGCCATGCCACTTGAATTTACTGATCCCTGCTAGGCCCTGATATGGCCCGTTTGTTGCAATGGTTTGTCAAAGTCAGCTTTTCTTCTCTGGTGCTTTGAAACCAAAAAGGCAAAATGAAGACAACAGAAGACAACAAAACCCACTGCCAAGTCTTGGACTACTTCTGTTTGTTCAAATAATGGGATTTTAAGAATTGATTACCTGTAGTAGCATCATCATGTGCTTTCCATGATGTTATCGGTGAATCTGTTCTAGAATCCATGTAATATACCATACCACAGTCTGTGCTAGCCTGTAATGAATATTCCATTATTATTATTGTATCATAAGATTAGAAATTATGTTAATTAAGTAATTTATTAATAACAGTCAAATGACAATCTATTAAAACTGTCTCCAAGTCCATCTCCTTTGTAATCCAGTATATTGGGAGGCAACACCTTGGTCCAGCACAGCAACAGACTAGATGGTTTGTCTATACGCATTCTCACAATACGTATGACAGAATATTTTAATGACCTGAAAATATAGTCTTCAAATAAATCCCTGGCATGTCCTTGTAGACCTAGAAGACAAGGTGCCAATCTTTAAGAATGCAGGATATTGTCTTGAGCTTGCCATACAGCTTGTTGAGTTGTCAGTTTTTTAGTCCATAATATAAACCCTGAGTTTTGGGCCTGGTCAGTGTTGATGGGTAAATAAATTCACTGTAAGATCATGTATTTAATTTTGTAACCCAGGGAACCTCAATGTAGAGGACGTACACAACACAGCCATATAATATAGTGATCTACATATTGTTTGGTGCCTCAGTGTTAAAGATCCACTTGAAGGCAAATCACCTGGCCAGCCAAGGATTGTCCTCAAGAAATATGTTCTTATTCAACATATGCTTTGGCAGTGATTTGAATATTAACTTGAGGGTGTAAAGGTTGAGTTAAATTAAAAATAGTAAATACTGTAGGTTATGTCCCAGTGTCTACTGGCTGCTACTTGCAACTGGATATCACTGATAATAGCCTACAATTCATATGCACCTCAACGGTTCTTCAAGTTCTTCTACTATCATTACTACAACAAAAGGTGTAGTTTGCAGTTTGTTTAGCCCTAGATGCATGGGAATTATCCCATCTTTATGAAGTTTGAAGACCAATCAATACTAGCACAGAGATTTTGGAATCAGTATCCAGGTGGTTACACTTAGGTGTATCATCCACCTTCTTGGTGAATGTCTTGAATATTGGTGCAAAGCTACAAAAGGAATATCTCTACTAGCCATTCCCAATTTTGAATTGATAGAATAGATGGTAATCAGTTAGTCAACACTGCCAACTTTTAGAGCTACTTTACCTGAATAGTCCAATTTGACCATCACTCTTACAATGTACCGATGACACCAAAATGTGGAGTGTGATGTCTTTGTAGCAATGGGATATGAATCATGAGCATTTGGATTCACAGGTAAGCATGCTAATAACTATACTATGCCTAAGCGATTACTTAATGATTTGCTTAGTTTAGTTGAACTGGCTAATGAGACATTAACTTCTCCTACTACAAGACCCTGCATGAGGCATTGTGGTCATTCAAGAAAACTTGTATTTGTCTGGCTAGGTTTCTGTATTATCTCTTCCCTACTACAAGACCCTGCATGCGGCATTGTGGTCATTCAAGAAAACTTGTATTTGTCTGGCTAGGTTTCTGTATTATCTCTTCCCTGGGGTGTGGGTCAAACCCAAGTGAAGGTTGGTATCAGTTGGAAGATAATCTTTCATTGAAAGCGCAATGCAAATGATCATTACTGATGTTGGTAATTTAGATACCACACAAGGATTTTGGTTTGACTTGAAAGTGTGGTATGCCATGATCATCATGATCAATAACCCATTTAATAGAAATCCTCAGAAGTATTTTCTCCTTTCTCAGCAGACATAGAGCATAGATTTGAGCAGTATAAGACAGTAATAATTAAGGTTTGTAATTGTATGGTTTAACAAACACCTTAAGTAAAATAGATTTTACTACTTGTTTTACATATTAATAGGTCTATTTCACTTTTTTTTGCTGTCTAAATTAATTTCATTTTTTGTAAGCAAAACTTTTGAAACTTTCAAACTGTAATACGTACCTAATATGTACCGTTGGTGAAACTATCTGAAAATCCATACAGAAATTAAAATTGTGGATTGTCATAATTGGATTAAAAACTTGAAAAAATTAATGAAGTGTGTTCTCTTAGTCTACAGAGAAAAATCTTGGGCAGTTCAAGTATTGTGATGATAAATATTTTAATTAGAAAATGAACTACACTCTTTCGAAAATAAAAGAGAACTAAATTTGCAAACTCAATTTTTAATTTGTTATAACCCCTTTTGTTTGTAATATTCATATGCACAGATCTAACTAGGCATAAAAAAAAATTTGTTGCACATCAGTCAAGGAACTTTCTAATCAATTTGAGGATACTGGTTACTGAACTGATGATTCAATGCATTCTAATTATTTGTAGTTTCTGTTCTTCTTATTTATTGATTTAAAATATTAGCTATTTCAAGTCAAATTGTTAATTTAAAAGTTATTTTTTGTTCTAACCTATATGGTTGGCTTACTGTTGATTAGTTGTTAACTGTTAGATGAATCTATTACAAATATTGTATTGTTAATACAGAAATCACATTATAGCATCTTTTTTTTTATAGGTATTCTATTTTTGTTAGATATTATTAATACAAGCACTAATATAGTGTGATCTAGGCAATTCACTGTTGTTAAAAAGGATAAGTGCAATTATCACTGTATTAATTTTAATATGGTGTTATTCGAACACTTACATGGTACTGTTCCAACCATCATAAAGAATTGTTCATCCATTTTTTTAACCATCAGTATTTTCTGTAAAATTACTTCTAATGTTAAGATAGTGCTTCTGATGTTAAATGAAACAATGCTACTGTTAAAAAGTTATTGATGCATTACTTTATAATTACTACTGTTATTTCAATTTTAGTATTGTACTATACAAGCTCTGTATTGTTGACAAAACTTCGTTGAATGGATGGCAACTGCCTGTTGTAGAAACACTAGTGTAGAAGACGACATTTCCAAAGTCTTTTGCCTTTCATCTTCAAGTCAGTGAGTGTATCTATCAAAGAATAACTCTGCATTGTTGTTATATTTTACTAGGTGTAAAAGTTTCTAGGAATAGTTTACTACTGTTGTGTCATCTCATACACAACATGTTAACTGTTTATACTTTGCTCATTGATACTGCTTAGCTGAGAAATAATATAAAATATGATTGTTCTAGTATTGTAACTTACATTCAGTTGTTTTGTAAGGAAAATATTTGAATATCATGTAACTCAACAACTCCACACAGGCTTTACCATCTTTAGATGGGAGTAAGCATGCGTGAAATTCTGCCGGTACTCACCAGAACTTATTTTTTAAGGTGGTACACTAATACCAGGATTTATTTGAGCTGCTTTGTCATTTTTTATGTTTACAGAGGTTTACCTCTACGTTTTTTTTTGAGAATTACACCCCTGGGTGTAAGTGAAGTTCTAAAAACACTCAACTGCTTATCCCTTAAACAGATTCAGGGATATAATAAGCAGTGTGGTTTCTTTTAATATAAAGCACATAAAGAACACTAAAAATGATCTTGACAGAGGTGTGAAACCAAAACATGAAACATTTTCCCAGCTGGAGATTTCCCATCTAGAAAATACCAAGTTGCTCATCACTGAGAAACGATGGAGAATGGATACTTTATTAAAATATATACAATTTAACCTATTTCCCAAACATAAAACTTTATAACAACAATTATCACAAGTTCTTTTAAATCTTCTTTTTTTTTTTCTTGATGGGCTTTTTGTAGGATGATTTTGATGTTAAACTTTTCATAAGAAAGGATGTTGAATCAGTGTCCATGGCCATATTGTCTGTAGCTTTAGCACTACTTGTAGCACCCTCTTCTGATGTTGAACTAATTCCTTGTGATGATGGTAAAAAATGCACTCGGGCTAGACAGAAATTTCATACTGTATTAGAAACAAAGCTCCTATTTTCGTATAATAGGTAATTAATTCATACAGAAAGTACCTCTATCATAGTAGTCATATTTAACAAATATTATATTTTATTTTCCCAATTATTTACAACACAATCCTCTTTTATTAATATTCTTACTTTACTATGAGCTATCAAATAACTTTGATTTGATGCTTTGCATACAAATTTATAGAACAAAAAATTCACATACCATTTGTGTTTTTGTTTGTAATTTCTGAAGCTTTACCTTTAAACTAAGTCACACTATAAAAATAATCCTTCCTCACCTTTGTCACTATCTCTTATGTCCCAGACTTTAAAACTGTTTGATCTATTATCACCTCCTATTGCGATCACAAAAGCTGCATCTGGTGAAGACTTAATAGTGTAGATAGCACCCTGTGGAAGGAAGAAAATAGAAAGTGCTGTACATTTTATCTAGATATCACACATAACTTAGACTTAAATAAATCTGAGAGCTAAAACGAAAAAAAAATACCAACTTACACCGATATTACACTTAAAATTAGGTAGACAATATCAAATGAGAAATGGAACAAGTTTTTGAAATAACACCAGTAAAGTTAAGAATAAAAACTTTGGATATTAAAACTGTACATTTTAAGGTGCATTTACTATATATGCAAAGAATATTTAACATCATCTCTTTCCCATATGCATGCAACCCAACTATGAATTCTGTATTGGTACAGATGAACAAATCTTTAAGAAGGAAATTATAATGTGATGACAGTTTATTAGAATATTACAATTTTACTCTATGCTGAAAGTTTTTATTTCTCACCAGCTTAAAGTTTCTCTGCTCCACCAGGCTGGCCTGTTGTTTTTGTATGTCCCATATTTTCACAGTACTGTCAGTAGATCCTGTAACCAAACATCCTGGCTGAAGAGCACTCAGCGAGAGCCCTGAATGCAATGTAGATTATTAAAAATATATATCAATTATGTTTACTGTTAAGAGTTTTTGTAATTTAATGGCATTAAAGTTCCATTAATTCTATTAATATTCTACGTGGCTTCAAATTTTGATCACAAATATTATTAGATAGATAGTTAACTCTTCAATTAAAAATACTTCAAATGCTATGATATAAATTACTTTGGGTTTCTGATACTATGTGATGAGATTAATCAATCTTTCAAATGTTATCTACATGTCATCGATCATCATTCCACAATCAGGTTTTTTTAGTCAGTAGTGAGATTAAATGCCACATTTTAATGATAGAATTACAGAGTAATAGATTATATCACACTTAAATATTTCTGAACAATACACTCAGGTTGTATATTGATGGTAAGTGAATCCTTCACACTAACTGTTATTTGTCTTTGATTCAGAATTTTAACATAAAGATACTCAAGAACTAGTTGTATAAGCTGTTCATAATCATCTCACTGACAGTCCTAACTAGATCAAAGGATAATAATGGCTGGAGACGGCCTAAATGGGTTACTCGTCATCGAATTAGATCAAAGGATATTCAATATGTTGCAGCACCGACATGCGTGGTACTTAAGGGAGTTGTTACAACTGCAGTGTTATAGGTCAAGAAGGTTACTCTCGGCAAAAGCTATTAGGTGGCCACAAACTTGATACATTGTGTGTGTGTGGCTACAGGAGTAAAATCAATGATGTAATACTTGACTTCACTAAAACACCCCTGAATGATGACAATATTAAAGGGTTAAGTAACTTGACTATCAACCCTAGGACCTGAATACGCACCAGAACATATAAGATTTGGCAATAAATGTAGAAAAAACGACCTTTACTCTTAAGATAATATTAAAAATTATTTCGGCTAACATTTCACCATTGTGACTTCAACAGAGCCAATAGCATAATAATTATTCAATGTGCAACTATGCATTAATTTTTTAAATGCATATTGCGTTCTGTTACACCTCAAGCCTTTCGTAAGATGTTTTAAACAATTTTTAGAATATTGTTGTTTCACAACTGTTCTAATAATAATATAGTATAGTTACGATACTAAGTATACTACCATTTGACCTATAGAATTTATAAAGTTATATACAGTTTCAAAATATTTTGTATTTTCTCACAAAATAATTAAAACTTTAGGTGGTTGAGAAACAATATTTTGAGTTGAAAAGATACAAAATTTATCATGTTAAAATAAAAATCTGTAGTTACGAACTTTATTATGGATATTGGAAATATACACCTGGAAAAAAGTTAAGCACCCCCAAATATTTTCAGGATTGC